GTCCCTAGCATCAGTGGACATAATAGTAAAGGAAAACAATGTGATTCAGGGATTCAATTTCCCAGTGCCAAATTTACATTAAGTAACCTGAACTCTTCCAAGTATGCCCTGAAGGAGAATCTTTTCTCTGGCAGATAAAGGGCTGAAGTTGCCAAAACCCAACCCCTCAACATGCAATTGGCTGGATTATAGTACAAATTTAAGTCTCAACCTGGAAGGGTATCTGCAGTTAAAATGAAAGCACTACATGGAAACAATGGAATACTAAAAATTGGAATGGGGACCTGTGGGCAGACTCTGTTGAGGTCGGTGGCATTGAACTCCTAAGTTATGATGAGTTGATTTTGCCAGAGGAAGTGGCCTCCCCATCCTCAGTGACAGCAGCACCCCCAACTCTTCCCCTCTGCTACCGGCCTTTCCACCTCTGCCTGAAGGGACTAACCCAGCATTGCCCAAGGAAACAGAAGTGACCTTCCCTGACACAGTTATTAAGTGGACAATGCTGGTATTCCTCAGGACCCATCCCAACCACCCATTTTTGCCTCTAGACTAGTAATCAGACTTCAGTATCAACAGACCCCTAAAGGCAAGGGGCACTGTGAGACTCCTGGGGAGGTGCACTACAGTGCAAATGAACTTCTCAAATTTTCTAATTCATACAAGCAGAGGTCTTGAGCACATGTGTGAAAATGGATTTTAATGATGTGGGCTAATGGTGGAAGGAACATAAAGTTGGTTCAGGCTGAATTTATTGATATAAACCCATTAAGCAGAGCTTCTGCCCTTGATTTATTTGCAGAGTTAAAAAGGGGTGCTAATGGAGCTGGGGATGTGGCTCAAGTGGTAGCGCGTTCGCCTAGCATGCATGAAGCACTGGGTTCAATTCTCAGCACCACATTAGAAAAAAAAGATATCGTGTCCACCTAAAACTAAAAAATAAATATTTTTAAAAAGGGGGGTGCTAACAGCGTATTTGGTTGGTTGGCTGAAATATGGATCAAAAGATGGCTCATTGTGAATGAGCTGGAAATGTCTAAATTGACTTGGTTTAATGTGGATGCAGGGATTCAGAGGCTCAGAGAGACTTGGCTGCTGCAGTGGAGTTGCATTGCAAGACCTTCTCCTCCACACTGGGTGGGGAGGGGTCTAGAAGATGTGGCCTGCACCAGTACTTTAAGAAACAAACTTGGGAGTAGAGCACTAGCAATCTTCAGGAACTCCACATGCTTTTCTCCATATGCCAGACATTATAGTTAGAGCCATGGTCACTCAACTCAGAAACTTAAATGCAATGAGAATGTTTCTCCTGGGCTGGGAAGCTAGGAATCTAGGAAGCATGCAATTTTTTGTTGTTGTTGTTTTTCTTTTTTACCTTTTTTTCAGTGGCTCACAGCTAATAGTTTGTATGAGTCTCAGAAAAGACGTCGGACTTGGACTATCTAGCAATGCTAGAAAAGTTAATATTTGAGGGACTCTTAGATGAACTGAATGTGTTTTGCATTGTGAGATGGACATGAGCTTTTGGAGGCCAGGGACAGAATGTTAAGTGTAGATCTTAAATGTCCTCTGAAGGCCATGTGATAAAGGCTTGTCTGTCAGCCTGTGGTGCCACTGGGAGATGGTAGAAACTTTAGAAGGCGGGTCTACTGGGAGATCATTGGAGGTGTGTGCCCTTGAAGGCAATATTGAGACCCTAAGCCCCTTCCTCTCTTGGTTCCCCAGCCACCATAAGGTGAGCAAGTTTTCTCTGCCAACTCACTTCCTCTATGGTGTTCAGCTCATTGCAAGCTTAAACTCCTTCAGAGTGGGAAAGAAAACTGTATGTCTAAGATGAAAGACTGGTAGAAAAAAACCGACAGAGGAGTTTTAACCATGTTGAGTCTCTGGATATTTCCAGGTTTCTAGCTCCTATTAAATTCAACTGATCCTCATTCTGCCACATCTTCTGTGGGAATCCCCAGGCAAATTGCCTGCACCCTCTGAATTTTATTCTTCTATCAAAAAGAGAGATGCTGAGAACAAAACACCTCCATTTCTCCCCTGCCTCAGTTCTACATTATTTACAACATGACTTCATAGCTCATCTAATCAATCTTTTAGCAATTCCTCCTTCTGTTTAACTGAGGCTGGCCTTGTGACTTGCATCAGCCATTAGAATGTAGAGGGAATCAAGGCTTGACAGTTTCCAGCCTGGACCCTAATGGGCAACAACGTGGTTCTATTCTCTCTCGGGACCTAATCACCACCATGTGAAAAAGCCAGGCTAGCTTGCTAGAGAATGCGAGAAAATGTGAGAGAAAAGAACACTGTTGTCCCAGCTGAAATCAGTCTTCACACACTTGACCTACCAAACATATAAGACAGTCCAGTCAAGACAGCAAAGCCACATACCTTACCTGTAGACCTGTGAGCAATAACACAAGCTTATAAAGTCCCAAGAGTTTTAGATTGTTTGTTTTGCAGCAAAATACTAGCTGATACATGTGGTATAAAACTCAATGACTCTTAAAATGGAAAAGTAAGTTACATTCTAGTTGTACTGGAGAGAGCACTAAATTGAAAGTATAAAAACTTGGGTCTTAGGCCCTAGCCTGTCAATTTGGGGGGCATCTGATCTCGGAAAGAAACAACTCTCTCAGTTTTAGTTTGCTTATATTAAGAAATAAGATACATATGATATGTCAAGAGCTTTGTAATGTTTTGAACAACCAAAAAAAATATGAAAAAAAAGAAATAAGATACCAGTCCATTTCCTGTGTAAGTAAGGATTGCTTGAGATAATACACTTGCAAATGAAGCCTGTGATTAAGAGAGTGTAATATAATTCTTGGTAGCAAAGCACCAGTGAGTCCTGTGTGCTGCTCTTTTTACCCTTTTGCTAACACAAAAGGAAGACTGTTTTAAAACAGACGAAGACATGAAGCAGCTATGAGTAAGAGGCTTTTGCAATATGAAGGGAAAGAATCTATCTGGGTATCAGAAAGCCAAGAGAATCCGCCTTCCTCTTAAAGCCATCTCTATTATGATTCCTCTCATCACAGTTGCAGTAAACAGCAGGTGAAACAATTGTGTAATGCTAAAGGGTCAGATTTCTAGCATTGCAACATTTTATGAATCCAAGATGCAAAAAGCAAGAAGTGTCACAGTAATTGAAACATACACTTGAAACTTTGTGCTGTAATGCAAAGTTTGAAACTACAGCAGACAGGAAGACTGGCAGACATTCCTACATCTTATACCACCTCTTCACATTAGAGGTGACTTGTCCAATGTGAGCAAAGGTGATGGTAGACCCAGATGAGCAAAGACAAAGAAGTTCTAATCAGATCAACCCAGACACACCTAGGGCAGTGCAGCATAGTGGGAAAGCAAAGGATTTGGAAACTCAGGGCCATGAAAGAAAGAGAGTTCTTCCCTTTCTAAGTTTTTACTGTTACCAGTAGTCAAAAGATACTGTCTCTAAAGTCAATGCATATTTTAAATGAATAATAAGCAAATTATCATGTATTCTACAGTGTGTTTTCTCTGTAGCATTTAGTTATTTTTCAGAAGACGGTGTTAGGAGGAACATAAGTTTTAGCTTTTGATAAATCTGGTTGACATTTATTCAGCCTTAGGTCTGCTACATGAGTTTTATGACTTCATTATCACATGTGTTTGGGCCTCAGTTTCATAACTCTAAAGTGGTGATAAATTTGAACCTTCTAAGGTTGCCGAACGACTTATGCTCTCTGAGGGGATCTGTTTTGACTTCTGTTTCATTCATCATTATGAAATGGACTGAATATTCTACAAAATTGAGATATTTATTTAAAGGAATTGAGAAATTATTTGAAATACTTTATATAACATATCAAACTCATTATCTGGACTAAGACATTTTATTATTGATTTTACAATGCTATAGGTTTGAAATATTCTTTTGGAACTGGCTGGCTAGAAAACAAAGGAGTGGGGGAGGGGACAGAGAGATGGGGGGTTTCATTGTTTGTTTCATTATATCCACTTTTCCAGCTGCGTATCATACAGATGTATTAACTACATTTTGAAAAGGAAACTAAACTTGCAAAGGACAAAAGGACCTTTTCAGGAAGAGCTTACAGAGCAGAGCCCAACCTAGCCAAGCAGGGAGCATTTAGAGTCACTGTCTACTACCCATGACAGTGAATCAATAGCTTCTCTCCTTTGCTGCCTCCCCATCAGTACAAGATCTATTTCTTTGGGAGAGGAAAACCCCTAAAAAGAAATTGTGACAATTAAAAACTTTATAAAAAAGGAAGATATCCAACTTTGTGACCAAGAGTCAAGGTTTGAGTCTCTGTCCTCAGCACTCTGGTAAACAGAACAAAGGGAGGCTGAAATCTCCACCAGCAGCCAGGGAGGGCTTGGGAAGTAAAGACAGTCTGAGGCAAGGCCTTGCTGGGAGCTATTAGCCAAGTAGGTATGACAATTTCCTTGCCAGCGTACCCCATGTTGCAGTGACATTGAATGTAGGTGACCTTGCTCAAGGACCAGGGCGGATTAGGGTGTTCCCGGTTTAAGATAATCAGGTTTAGGGCATTCCCAGTTTAGGTTCCAGGTTTAAGGTTTAAGATTATTCCTGCTGGGAATAGGGCGTATCCTGCTGCCTGAGTTCCCCTTGAGTTCTCAAAGGATTAAGACAGTATATTTTTGGGAGATAGAAGCCCAGTGGGAGTGGATTTGGGCAGAGAATGTGGATTTCCCCAGAACGTGATTGTAGACGGCTGGTGTGAGTTAGGGAATAAAGAGTTGCTCTTTGAATCTACAAGCTGTGTGGTGGCTCGTGATTGTGTGCCCAGCCAGACTGCGGCAAGGCCTGGACCAGAGGATGTTGAACTTCAAACAATAGTGAGATGGAGTCACCCTAGGCCGGACCCTCTGGAGACTCCCCAACTAGAGCAAAGGATTGAGGACAGGAGAGGAGGGAAGGGCTGAGGGAGGAACACTGCCCTCCCAGACTCCTATTCATCCAAACTCACCCATTGAGAAAGGCATGAAGGATTCTCTTTTCTTAAACTGTCCATTCTCCAGAAAATGCTCAGGGTTGAATGTGTCAGGGGTGGCCCACTCTTTGGGGTCCTTGTGCAAAGCGGTCAAATTGGTCAGGATCATGGTCCCCTAGAGAAGGCAGTGAAGAGTCAGGCAGGACTTGACCCACATCGCACATCTAGGCAAAGGTAGGTGGTTCTCAGCACCCCATGCTGGGGCCTGAGCACATTCTGAGCTTCCCCACCCTCCCAACCCAACACCTGCTGAGCTCAACCTTCTAGGATGCTTCTCTTTGAGTGGGACAACTTAGAAGGATGAATTGGAATTGTCTTCTGAGAATTTTACCCTGGAATTTTGGCTACTCTTGAGTGCATAATAAAGCTCCTCTGCAGAAACAAGTCAGTGTAGGTCTGGGGAAGGGGCCTGTAAGCATCCATGAGAGAATTATGTGACAGCTGGACGGTCCGCACAGTAATTAAATCAACCCAGCTAGTCAGTGAAGTGATAAGGAGGGCAGCTCTACAAAGGGGGAGAAAATGCATCTTTCACTCTGCTTCTGCATTTTCTTCCCTCCAGTGTGTAGAAAGCTGTGCCCAGTCCCAAAAGCTATTTGAGTAGCACAAGCAGATATCCAGGGAAAAGAATCCCTGTCCATCGAGGTATATGACAAGAAACCCTGGAGTCACTAGAGTGAGCCTTCTCTCACTACCTCATCCAACCCATCAGTCATGCTTGACACTTCTTTAAATGCCCCCTGATTCCCTCACCTCCATTAGGGACTGTCCACCACCACCTCTGCAGAGATCTTAAAAGTGGTGGGTGGAGTGTGATTTGAATTCTTGCTCATCCAGATTCTTGTAATCACTTCCTACTTATGCCCCACATCCCCTGTTGCCCTTTTCAATTTGCTCCACACCCTGAAAGCAGAGTGTGCTTTGAATATGGCTTAAATCTATGACAGCCCCCACCCACTCAGACCTCAAACTTGGTATTCAATAGCTTCCCACACTCCTAGTCACAGATCCATTCCCTAACCTCTCAGGGCTTCTCCTATTCTTCTTGAGCTCCCACTACAGTGACCTGTAACACAGGTCAAGTTTCCATTCATTTCAATGACTTTTTAAATACTGCTCACCTTGCCAGGAAATGTTCTCTTCCCCCACTTTGCCATTAACCAACTCCCAGCAATCCTTTAATCCTCAGCTCCAGCATTACTTCCTTCAGAGGCAAGCCTCCCAGTTCCTTCCAGCACCTGTTCCTCACTCCCCCTGGGAGATGCTGGAAGCATTTTTACAGAGGCAGTGAGTATTTTCCTTGGGACAGTTAGCATGGTTGGTATATTTTGTAAGCATGACTATTTTGCTCAGGGTTATTTTACTAGATCTAAAGATTCAGATACTTAATGAATATTTGCCAAATAACTGTTACTTTGAGTAAGAGGCTCAGCATGTAGGATCCCATTTTACTTCACACGGATCTTGTAGGGTGGGCTCAAATGCATTTTGTAGATGAAGAAATTGCAGCTGTGAGTGGTTAAATAATGTGCTCAGAGCCACGTTGTGGTGGGGCAAGGTAGAGTCACGTGAACTAGGTCTATCTGATGTCAAAGCCATGGTTCCTAGCCTCCATTGCATGTAATCAATTATATTTCTCAGAGGCCAGGAGGATTATTAAAGTTGATGTGAAAAACCAGTGTTAGAAAAAGTCTTGTGAGATTGGCTGATTCTCTGGAGTTAAATGAATGGCTAGAAAAATGCAAACAGCACCTGGTGGGAAACTCAGGCCTCAGCCTTCATCCATGAGAAGTTTCATCAGGAAGAAATAGTTCTTGTAGAAGCTGCATTTCCTGGCTCTGCAGTGACAGTCACCAAGGAGTCACTGGGATTCTCTTTTGATTCTAACTCTGGAGATTGTTCCCAATTACAACATATGTGGAGGGACTTGGACAAACTAGAATAGATCCAGTAGCAAGGAAGGAACTGTAAGTGTGCATGATAGAGAAAGAACCCTGGGGGACCCAGGAGAACCCTCTGCAGAGATCTTAAAAGTGGTGGGTGGAGTGTGATCTGAATTCTGTTAGTGACGCCAAGGGATTTAACAGAGACCAGTAGGGAAAACTTAAAAGGAGTTTTTTGGTTTTGTTTTTGTTTTTGTTTAAGTCAAAGCAAAAGAGTCCTGTGGAGGGAGCATCACGTCATACAAATAATTAGAACAGCTCTGGTTCTAGATCCAGCTATTGTCACTTCGTAGTTGAGATCTCATGCAAGCTTAATTTCCCTGAGACTCAACTTCCCAATCTATAAGATGGGAATAATAGTTGTCCTGAGAACTAAGATATTTTGAAAGAGGCTACATGGCTGAGTAAATATTCGTTTCTTGTTCTCCCGTTCTAATTATGAACATTGCACACACTGGAGTGGCTTCTTTTATGAAATGGAGAGTTCCCCATCATGGTGCTGTAGGTAAAAGCTGTAAAAATACCTGTGGGGACGTGATATTAGAAACATAAGCATTAATGTGGTTTGGGACCAGGTAATCTCAAATGTCCTTCCACATTTTCCAAAGTCTGGCTGGTCTCCAGTTTTGAGAGATGCTCTCCAAGGTAAAGAACAGGGCTCTATGGCAAAATCTGACAGAGACTTTTGCTGCCATCTGTGTGCCACCATGAGCCACAGTGCACATCACAGAGTGAGAACACTGAGAAGTTCCACAGCAAGCAAAACAAAACAAACACACACACCAACAAACTAGTCTTGATTAAACACATTTGAATTAGGAATGTTTCATCCTCTATTCCCCATATTACCTATGTCTGGTAAAATCCATGGAGAAAAAGTTAGTATTATATCAAGTATAATGTATCTCCCCATCTAGGTGATGCTTGGGATAGGAATATATGTGACTTTTCAAATACAAATGCAAGTTCTGTGATGGTCTCAAAGACAGGCTTGAAGTCTGAGGCTGGGTGTGCTTCCTTACCTTTGGCAGGTAGTATCCAGCCAAAGTGGTATCAACCACCACTTCCCTGGGGACATTCAGAGGGATGATGTTGCCCATTCTCTGCACCTCATGGATGACAGCATTGGTGTAGGGCATGAACTCTCTGGCATCCATGCTTGGCTGCTGCCACTGGCCTACCACTCTGTCAATCTCAGCATGCACTTTTTCTGGAAGAGAAGAGGGAGATTCTATTATTTTTGAAACTTTTATACTTTCTTCTAAAGATGTAGGATTTTTCTATTAGATCTCACCTATGTCATTTCAAATAGTGGCCAGGATGCAAAGAAATAAAATGTTCCTTAACCCTTCAATGGACTTAATCAGAAAATTGTCAACTCAGTCACTTTCCTTGAGTCTCAGGAATGAAATGCCCAGGATCAATGTGGCTAAGCTCATAGTAGGGTGTTTTCTTATTCAGGCTTCTATGATAAAGTGCCATAAATGGAGTGGCTTAAAAACCACAGAAATTTTTTTCTCATAGATCGGAAGCCTGGGCTGTCTAAGACCAAAGCACCAGCATATGTGGTTCCTGGGGAGAACCCACTTTCTGGTTCAGAGGTGGCATCTAGTTGCTGTGTCCTCACATGTTGCAAGGAGCAAGGCAGCTTGCTGGGAATGTTTCATAGGGGCACTAATGCCAATCATGAAGACTCATCACCTCCCAATACCACCACTCTGATAATTAGGTTTCCGCACAGGGATTTGGTGAGGAAGACACAAGTATTTGAATCCTAGCAGATCTGAAGACTCTCACTTCTCAAGGGTAGCATGGGAGTAGATAGTGAATAGCAGACTCCTGCTCTACAAAATTATTGCTGCAATGTACTCAGATCCTTGGAGCCTCAATTTCTTCATCTGATTAGTGAGGCTAAGTCAACTTTCATGTGAAAGATGTTTTGAGAATTACATGAACTCATTTAAGTAAGCATTAAACAGGATCAGGATCGGCATGGCTCAGCTCATGGAAACTGCAGCTGTCTTCAAATATATTTGCCTCATTTTCTACAGTCATAGACATTTGAGCTGGCTACCTCACTGTCCAGCTAAAAGCTACTTTTCCTAGATTTTTCTGGGACCAAGTGTGGCTATATGTATCTATGTATGTATGTATGTATATATATAAATATATACACACACACATACACATGCATACACACACATATATGAAGCGTGCATTTGTAAATTATTATGTGAGAGAAGTAAAGTTTTATTAACAAATATATCCTTAATAGATGGCAAGCACTTCAGTCTTCTCTATTTTTATTTTGGGGGAGTGGGGGCATTGACCTTGATCTACTCAATTGATCTTATGCCTCATTAATAAATTGTTACCCACAATTCTAGAAAACATGCCATGACTGTTTCCACCCTCCACCTGCCCAAACTGTTCTAGAACCTGGAGAAATAAAAATGTTGGGAATAGCCATTGTCCTTGAAGGAATGACAGTCTTTGGGGGAATTTATATATATAATGTGCTCTAAGCATGGTAATAGAGGTGCCCGGCTCATCTCTAGAGATGACCAGGAATGAAGAAACATCTTAGGTAGTAGTATTGGAAGAATTCTTTCAGAAGAGTTGGGGATTCAGCATGTGGAGAAACTCAGAAAGCATGTTCTTGACAGAGGGAAGACCAGATATTGTGATTCAGACACTTAGGACAGTGTCAAGAAAATGACACCGAATTCAGTGAAACCACCAATGCAGGATGGGTGCTGCTGAGGCACGACAGGCAGAAAATGGCACATCAGAGGGCATTATTACCAGACTAACGAGGCTAGACAGGCTGGGGATGTGGCTTTGTGGGGTGGCAGACACCTTGCCTTGCATGCATGTGGCCCTGGTTTTGAAGCTCAACACTGGAAAAAAGAAAAAGAAAAAGAAAACAGTACCAAAAATGTGTCTGGGCATTATCAGGGGAAAAGAGGAAGGGATTGCTGAAAAGAATGGAAGAATAAATACTCATATGAGATTGTAACTCTTTGCTGGACCCCATTACAAAGTCAATTGGCCTCATTGTTTTCCCCTAGACCTAGAGCTTCATGCACACATGGAGTTTAACACTTATCCTACCTGGACTCCTCATATTCCTCTGTAAAAAGCGAGGAATGTGTGCATGCTCAAGACTGCACCACCTCTCAACAATTTCTATCTTTCCCTGCTCACCCAGCCAGCTTCTCCTAATCCTGAGCCATGTGGCCAGGAGGCACCATGTGTCCTGGGCCAGGCACATTCGCTGCCACTCTCACCTTGGACTTCTGGGTAGAGGGCCATATAAAGCAGACCCCAGCGCAGCGTTGTAGAAGTTGTCTCAGTTCCAGCAAAGAAGAGGTCCAGGGTGCTGCAGATGAGGTTCTCTTCATTGAAACTTGAAGCATTCTTGTCTGTGTACTAGAAGACAGTTATTTGTTGGTTTATTCAGAGGACTTGTGGTTGCCAAAAAACACTAGGGTTTCATTCAAAGGAAAGAACTTGGAAGGAAAAGTCCTCAGAAGAAATGACTTTCTCCTAAGGGGAAAGTCTCTCTTCAGAAGGCAGCAATATCATTAACTTTGTCTGCAATGGGGCCTGAGAGAAGGGGTAGGTAACTGGAAGTGCTGGAAACTTTTTAGATGGTATTGGATAAAAATCAAAACAACCACTTTTTTTTTATGCCTGTAATTCCGGAGAAGCTAATAGTACAGTGGAAAGAGAATGGGCTATGAATGAGACAGACTTGGCTTCCAATATCAACCCCATCATTCATTAGATCAGCTTAGCTATATGACCTAGGATAAGTTATTTAACATCTCTGTACTTCCATTTCCTGCTTTATCAAATGGGAGTAAGAAGCATGCCTTAAGATGGCATTATAATTTATGTGACATGAAAAAGGGATATAGCAAATACTCAATGAATATTTGTGCCGATACCAGAAAGTATAAACTGAATTGCACATTTATCATATCTCCCCATACAGCTTTTGTAGTTTAAACCTCATAGATTCCATCAACTATTCCTTATAACACTCCATCATCTTTTCTACCTTCTTCTTGAAAGCTTGTTTTTCAACATTGCTGTTAATGTCAATGGTCACATACCTGAACACCATCTAGCAAATAAAGTCTCCTCCTCTAAGGAGAAAATTAATATTAATTTTATGAATATTTTGCCAATAAGGTAAATAAGAGCTAAGATGGAAAGAAATTCACCATTCTGCCCCCTCCAGATATAGGAATACATGATCTGATGAGTCAAAGATTATAACATTGATTCAGTGTTGTACATTAGCCAGAGGACCGCCACGTTCAAGGCCTGTATCCACTTAGGGTTTTTTTCCTGATTCTTGTCAGAAAAGTTGGAAAGTGGGTGAGAAGAGGAGGGAGTAGAAGCCCCACTCAGACCTTAAGGTTAAAATCTGGTATCCAGTTCAGCTTTACATGTGTTCTCTGCAGTGACAGCTGAGAGGACGAGTAGGTTACTGGCCAGAACATCTAAAACAGAGCTTTGAAGCTCAATTTCTCTTTTCCCTTTTGTATCTAGCTCCTTCAGGTACAGGTAGGGGAAGGTGATGGGGATGAAAAGGGAGTATTGGGGCATTTTCAGGGCCTAAAACCAAATGCCATTAAACCTCTGTCTTTATTTCAAAGTGCCTCAGCCTCCTGAGTAATTTTTACTCACCTATGATGAGGTTGCAGGGACCAACTCTGTAGGGCTTATAGGCCAGAGAAATTATGCCAGACTTTATCAAGGATAGTGGAAAGCCATTGGAGGAATGAAAGGTAAGGAATCAAACTGTTAAATGATACCCCAGCAGCTCTGTGGAAAATAGGCTGGGAATAGGGTTAAGAGTGGAATAGGGTTAAGATTAAATGACACCCCAGGGATTAATCAAGGATTAAGGCATCCATATAAAATTGAACCATGATCGAACCCTGATCCCAAAAGATGACAACACATAGCAAAACTGACTTTGCAGATGTGATTAAACCTAAGGGTTTTGAGTTAGGAATATTGTCCTGTATTATCCTTACAAGATGGAGGGAAGAAGATCAAAGTCAGAGAGAGAAAGTGTAAAGATGGAAGCAGGGAGACAAGAGAGGAGAGGTGATGCTACCCTTGTGCTAAAAATGGAGGAAGGAACCACAAACCAAAGCCTCTGGAAGCTGGGCAAGCCATGGAAACCAATTCTTAAGAGACTTCATAGGATCTAAGCTGGCCAACACCTTGACTTTAGCCCAGTGAAACTGCAGTTTGACTTCTGTCATTCAGAACTGGACTTTTGTCATTCAGAACAGTAAGAGAACAAACAACACATCTGTACCATCTTAAGCCACTGAATTTGTGGTAACTTGTTACAGCTGCTATTGGAAACTAATATACAGCTATTTGTTCTTTAAGAAAAAAAAAATCAGAGGAGACAAATTCGTTTTCCTCACCTTCACAATTTCCTTGAGGTAAGCATCAATAAAGTCTCTTGACTCATCAGGATTCCAGTCTTTCCTGTGTTTTTCAACTTCATGAGAAACAAACAATTTCAGCTTTTCCCAGTTGCTGAAGACAGTTTGATGAGGTCCAGGGAGGAATTTCATTATCCATGGAAAGACATTATAGAACTAATGGCAAAAAACAGAATGATCATGGAGATAGCATGGGGCCACTTTTGCACTTTTGGGGACAGTCTTCTCTTTCCATCTCTTTTATTTGCTTATGCTTAAGCTGAGGAGTCATCCTGGACTTTTCCTTTCTCTCTATTCACTCTGGCAGGCATTCAACCCTCCACACACTTCTCACCAGTCCTCCCACAAGAAACCACCACTGTCTCCTACCCAAATGTTGCCATAGCTTTCAGCAATTTCCTTATTCCACTCTTTACCCTGTTCCCAGCCTATTTTCCACAGAGCTGCTGGGGTATCATTTAACAGTTTGATTCCTTACCTTTCAATCCTCCAATGGCTTTCCACTATCCTTGATAAAGTCTGGCATAATTTCTCTGGCCTATAAGCCCTACAGAGTTGGTCCCTGCAACCTCACCACCTCCTTTCTATCCCTCCCTGCCACTTTCCACTGGACAGTCCAACCACAGAGGATTAATGCATCCATATAAAATGCTTCCAGAGAAAAGGAAAAAGTAGTTTTGAAGAAATAGCAATCACATTTGTAGCTGACTCTCCCTGGCACCAGTGCAAACCTAGATGATGCTGAAAGAATATTTTCAGTATGCAAAGAGAAAAGAGTCAAATTGTTTTTTAATATTTATTTTTCAGGTGCTGGCGTTGTCGCTCAAGCAGTAACGCGCTCACCTGGAATGCGTGGGAAACTGGGTTTGATCCTCAGCACCACATAAAATAAAGATGTTGTGTCCACTGAAAAATAAATATTAAAAAATTCTCTCTCTCTCTCTCTTTAAAAAATATTTATTTTACAGTTTTAGGTGGATACAATATCTCTCTCTTTTTTTAAATTTTTATGTGGTGCTGAGAATCAAACCCCATGCCTCACGCATGCTAACGAGCGCACTACAACTTGAGCCATATCCCCCGCCCAAGTCAAACTTCTTTAAATATTTAATTTAAGCAAAATAAAGTATCATAAGTTTGTTTAATACACTTGCTGCCTTGGCACCCATTCAATTTGACATGAGCCACTTAAAACCTCATTGTACCATAGCCTTTGGCCTAGTTAAACTTCTCCTTCCTTTGTGATAATAATACAGTTAGTTTGCTTATTCTTCATATTACCGGCCCCATGGCAACACATCCCATAGCTGCTGACCATGAAATAAACATAATGGTTAATAGTGGAGTTATTTAAATATGTTTCTATCTTAAGCCCAAGAGTGTTTTCTTTAAGCTAGAAATTGACCACCCCCAGGGAAAGCCTGAGAGACCACCAAGGCCTTTAATGAAGGCTTGGTCTCACAGGTTCTGTCTCTCTGCCTCTCTCTCTCTCCACCCATTAGTTGAGACCCTCCCATTCCCAGATCTCCCATCAGTCCTTGTGGGCCCTCTCACTCTCAGGATTTAGGAATAGTATCTTGCTTCTGTTATTTCATGAGCTTCTGTACTGTGTCTTACCTGATCAGACCTAAACCTAACTCTCCTGCTGGTCAGGGCTCTCCTAGGAAAGGGTTGTCTTGGCTCATGATCATTGTCTTGATAGAAATCACAAGACCAAGATAGAGGAAATCACAGTGTAAAGATCTTTTTGAATCCAAAAGAATTTACCATCAATTGATCTCCACTAAATGAAATTCAGGAGGGGGCTTTAACATCCAAAATAGGATGATAAAAATAGAAACTGATAAATATATAGGTAAATATAAGCAGACATTGCATGAATCAATATTGATCATGTACTCTCCAGTTAAAAAAAGAAGAAACTAAAATACGTGATGACAGTGACCTAAAGGAGTGACAAGAGGTGTGTTCTGAAGATCACGTATTATTTCGGCAGTGCACAAAGGTATTAATCTCAGATGCAGGCAGTTAATTGTGCATATTAAAAATTTTAGGGTAAAGACTAATATAATAATAATAATTTTAAGGCAAAGACTAAAGAAATAGAAAAAATCTTAATCTTCTAAATGAATATAGGAAAAAATAAATTTAATAATAATGAGTCAAAACAGAAGGAAAATAGAAGCCACAAAGTGATCATGAATTAGTTTTCATTTGTCAGTAAATTTGAAAAAAGAAACTAAGTGCTCCAATAAAAAGAAAAATATTGTCAAATTTGGTACAAAATTTATATTCATTTTTATGCTGTTTAAAAAGAAAACATCTAAAATATAAGGGCCTAGAGAAGTAGAATATAGTATATAGTATATACTATATACTATATATTTAGGATCAAGTGCTGATGGTTATGTAAATAGTGTAACTAGTTCTGAAATCTTTAGTTATGTTTTATGCCCAGATATATATTCAAGACAAATGACTGTGTCCATGAACACTAGTAAAAGAATATTGGTGGCAGCTCTATTCATAACATAAAAGATGGAAAAGGTTTTGTCCAAAAATTTGTCCAAAAATAGCAAACAGGTTAACAAACAGGGGCATGTTCATACAAGACAAAGCTAGTCTGCATTAAAAAAAAAAAAAAAAAAAAAAAGAGGAAGAGCAACCAAAACGGGCGAATCTTAAAACAAAACACCAGGAGAGAAATTGCACTCAGAAGGGTGCTTGAGACAGGAAGGAAATGGATATTTTAAAAGTAACATGGAGAGGAGAGATTCAAAGGCAAGGGCAATGGCAATATGTTCTTTTGAAAAAGAAAAAAACAAGTACGTAAGTGTATGTCTTGTATAATTTTGTACTCTATAGGAATCTTAGAAATGTTTTTTGCATTTGATAAATTTTCAACATTATTAAAAACACTAAAGTCAAAAAGCTGATTTCAAGTAAGTTTTTGTTAAATTAATTTAAAAATATTACATTTCAATTAAAAAGAAGAGGAAGAAGAAGAAGAAGAAGAAGAAGAAGAAGAAGAAGAAGAAGAAGCAGCAGCAGCTATGTGTATATGAGATCAGCCCCAATGGCCTTAACCAGCATAAAGAAGATGACTGCTTACTTGACAGAATCTCGAAGCCTCCAGAATCGTGACCTCATCCAGTAACTTCAGCAGCTCCTGGAACTGAGCATCCTGGTATTCAAAGCGCTCCCCAAAGGTGATGGAGCAAATGATGTTTGAAACTGCATTGTTGATCTTGAAGTGAGGGTTGAAAGGCTGTCCTGGAGGTAGAGAAAGGTAGAGAGTTCTTCAAAATCATTGGTTTCTTCCTGTTTTCTACAGGAGTCTATTCTAGCTGACACAGATATACCTACTAGAGAATCCTAGAGGAGGTGCTGGCCACAGCCCCCTATATGGGGTCTGTGATACAGCAAGGATACAGTCAATGCCAGGGAGGTTGAACTGATAACCAGGACTTAAATATCATAATATGTTTAATGTTTGTCTTTGCGCACTGAATTCTAGCACTCCTTGAGAGAAGTGTCATGGTATTTGTTTCCTACTGTATCCTCAGAGCCTAGGACAGTGCTGGTCATAGGGCAAGCACTTAGGCACTTAAAAAGTATCTATCCAGTGAATGCATAGGCCATAGGCTCCTGTAAATGCTCTTGTGAAATGCTCACCATTCTCCTCTTTGATTGCCTCAACAAGGTGGTAGGCCTCCTCCTGGATGCGTTCCTCCAGGCTCTTCCTTCCTAAACCAAAGTTCTTTAATGTTGTCAGGGTGAACCTTCTTTGTTCCTTCCATATTTGGCCATTAGACATGATCAATCCTAGGGGGGAAAAGCCAATATTATGGTATTCTGATTCTACTATGCAAATATCTGGCAAATTGTATGGAAATGTGTATCAGATGGAAAAGAGGAGGGACATTAAGACACCTGAATATTATTCAGAGTAATAAGACCTAAAGCAATGAACACAATGGCTAACATTTATTGATTACTTACAACATCAGTTATTTAGTGTTTTTATGTATTACGTAATTTAACACTCATAGAAGCTCTATGGGATAGATACACTTATTGCCCTCCCTCCTCTGCCCTCCCCTGAATTTTACTGAATGGGAATAAGGGATAAAGTAAATTTTGCAAGGTCATATAGTAATCAGTTAACCAGGTATTTAAATTCAAGTCTCCCTGATTCTAAAACTCATGCTTTAATCAGTAGCCACATAAGTACAGCTCAGTAGTTATGGCAAGCTAAGTACCAAGAATGCACTCAGAGATAAGTCCTATAAAGGAGAGGTCCTAAGTGTGACCTTAAAAGATGAAGGAATCATTCAACAAAGCAAGAGACCAGTGAGTATTCCACACAGAAAGAACAGCATAGGAGAAAGGGGAAAAACATCCTGTTGTGTGCAAAAGACCACCATCCTTTTCACTACACAGGCAATGCCATGCGCCCTTCCACTTCCCCATGGCTACTCCTCAACTTCTTGTGATGCCTGGCTTTGGCTCTGTTGTGGGAAACAAGACTGGGGGAGAAGCAGCAAGCAATACTCAGAGAGGAGAACTCCAAACTCTATTTTATGCTGGTGGGCCTGGAGGAAAACAAAACTCCAAATTCTGAGCCCTGATCCACAGTTTCTCACAACATTTATTCATGATTTCATGTCATCTTAGACCTGTCCTATCATTGGGGCTTTTTTCTCTTAAAATTTTTCCTAATCTACTCTGCTAAAGGCCCTGTGCAGGGTCTCTAACATGCTCACAGAAACAGGTAGGAAGAAAGGGCTCTTTCAAGAGGGGGTAGTCAGATCCCTAGGGTAGTTATTTACAATTCAAAAGGTTATTCAACCCATGGTTAATTAGGCTTCCAAGAGAAAGTCTGAGAGAGGGGAGGGCAACTGAACCTTCCCCAGGCATAGTTTTCTTACCAAAACATTTTTTAAAAATAATTTTTTAGATAGATGTGTGATGAGAATTGAGCCCAGTGCCTCACATGTGCTAGGCAAGCGCTCTACCACTGAGCCACAGCCTCAGTCCCTCTTACCATAACATTTTTTATAATTCATTTCACAACCAGGTCTGGTTTTGCCATCACAGCTCCACCAACCCAGTGAAATGTCCCTCCTTGCAGTCAGTCCAGGGCTATCTTTCAACCTCGTTTCACTTGGTCTTTTAGCAGCAGCATGAGATGCATTTTTCTTGCACACTCATATCTGGTGGAATTCAGGGTATTCACTTCCATATTTTCTTCTTAATCCCTTCCAGAAACTTCTTATATCCTGTTCCGTTTCATCTTCTATCAAATCTTGAAATGGCAGAGTTCTTTGAAGATTAGGTCTGAAGCTTCTTCACAAACTGTTTCCTCCTCTGTTATAATTAGGTGATATGATTACTTCATTATCAAAGCATCCAGAGTTTGTGCAGGACATGTGGTTTCTCCAAAATCTCTATCAGGAACCACTCAGACAAATCTTTAGAAGGAGATGTTTTCAACCAGGAAATGTGGGCATTTGGCTTCTTATAATGGAAGGCATTTATTTCATAATGAGGTTAACTTCTGGAAGTGTCAGAAAATTATAGGCATAGAGGCATGGTGAAGAGACCATAGCATTTCAAATGCACACCTTATTGTCATCAATAAACTTACCATTTTCCCTAAAGATACGTTCTCGGAGAGGGGTTACAGGGCGGTGCACGAAGGACTGGTCTGTCTGAGAAAGAACTTCTTTGATTAAGGGCAGTCCAGTTACGAGCACTGAAGACACATTACCAAAATGCAGGCCAAGAACATTCCCATATTTCTTCACCAACTGAAAAACAGTTATAGTCACAGTTAAACATGCACTTGTCTGTGTGTCTGGGGACACAGGGCATGTGTGAAGCTAAAGGGCTCACATTGAGGGAAGTGTGTGTGATAGGAATAGTTCTGAACTTTTTTTCCTCAGCTAAACTCAAATTTAGTTCACGGAGGTTTGGAAGTTTCCTTATGAACATATATTCATATATTCAACCAGTATGAATAGAGTGAGCATCTACCATGTGTCACTAAAAGAAGGCATAAAGATATGACTAACTAAAATAAACAAGGTCCCTAACCTGAGGCATCCTAGAGTTTAGCGAAAGCAGAAAATACAGCACATCTGAACTCCAAAATTTGCTGGGTATGCTTTTTTTTTCTTTTTCTTTTTCTTATGGGGAGAGGGAATCTTATTTTTTAATATGATTTTCTGGGTTATCAGTATCCATTTTCAATTTAGTGGGTTTTTAATTTTAGTATTTTAACAACTTTCATTAATTTATATAAATAATCTTTCTCTATCTAAAGATATTAAATAGTCCTTAAGACTTTGTTTTTCCTATATACATTTTTGTGTCTTCATATTATATTATTTTGTCTATAAGGTTTATGTTGGGTATGTTTAATGTAAGTCTGGTGTAGCAAATATGGAATTTAAGAAGTTAAATCTTTTTTTTTTCTTTTGTTAGGTTGTAGCTTTAACTAACATTAGTGTCTTCTTTATTTCAAAAGTGAAGAAGACAACAAAATGTGATAATTCGTAGAAAAAAAAACAGAAGTGAAATGAGCTTATCAGGAAATATGTCAAGAGAAAAGGATTAATGGTACTAACTCTTGATAGAGTCCATTGATGTTGACATGAAGCTAGGAATTATGGCTAAAAGTATCTCCTAAAAGTACCTCCATTTATCTAGGGAGAAAGATCCCTTTAGTAGTGCAGGTGCACTAAGGTAACTTCTGACCAGCAATTCACCCCAGTGCTGACATTAACATAGGATTGACTTATAGATGAAGCCCCCCTGAAATAAAATGGCCACCATGAAATTTCTGGAGAGGACCAACTAAGGTCTAAAACTCCACCACCTGATGTAAAGGAAGAGTTGAACACCTGATTGGCAAAGAGTACAGAAGGTGGTCCTCAGTTCTCCTGGTAAACATCAAATAGGAATGAAATTGGGGATAGCATTGTTTCCTTTGTCATTCTTTATTGGAGATGGCCCATTCTCTCCCTTGAGAGTGCTTTTTGCTTATCCCTCACTTTTCTTTTACTTTTTTTTTTTTTCTTTTCACCTCACTTTCACTTCTAATAAAGTTCTCTTATCTGACTTTTGGTGTCTGACTTTAAATTTTCTTTCATCAGAACACAAGAACCAAAGTTTGGAGTTTCAGCTCCCTGCTTTCCTGTGGCACTTTTACTAAGATAAATCAAAATATCAGTAACCAGAGGAGAAAGCCTCTTCCTCAGCATGTGCCAGATAACAGGAAGTGCTTTACAGGGTGCAGGCCCCATATGGAGAGACTGTTCCAGCTCTGGAGCTATGGGAGGATCTTGGCTCTGGGGTTCACCAACTGTGGGCTCTTGGGAAAGTTCCTTCATTTTTCTGAGGCTTGGCTTCCCTGTTATAAAAAAGAAAATTAATTCTCCCTTCTAAAGTTCTGTAAGGAAGAATGAGAGCAGTGATATGAAAGGCACTTTGTTTTCTGGTTCCAGGCACACAGCCACCCAGAGAGTCTCCATGGAATGAATGAGTTCTGTGTGCCAAGGAATGTGGGTGCACCCACAGGGTGACAGTGAGGACAGGAGTACACTAAAATGCAGGAGGAAGGTGCTTGTGGTCAGAAACAGCTGTGTTCCCTGGGTGCCATGGTGGGCATCTTTCATGCTTTATCTCACTAATCTAATGGTCACTCTGTGTAGTAAGGACTTTCTTCATCTAGTAGCAGAAAAAAAATGGTGGTAGCTGAAGTGATATAACACAGTGACAAAGCTATTTAGTAGTAGAGGGAACTTGCCAAACATTTTGTAAGATTTGAGGCTAGAGATATGAATTTGGGATGGCTCTAGGAACTTAAAGTTTAGTGGGAATAAGAAAATGAAAGTGAGAAGGAAAGGGAGGGTGAGAGATGTGGGGTAAGGGATGATAGGGAAAGAGATATTAGATTGGGATTAATTGTGCAACTATGGGTTGGACAATAGCATATGATCATTATTCAAAATTCTTTTCAACCTTTCTATTCAAGAATGATCCCTAAGTAGACCCGCCCTCTGCTTTTTGTCTGCCTGGATAGGGTCAAGCTGTAGCAGTGGTACCAGACAGAAAGAATCAATTCCTGCAATTATCTGTGGCCTCCTTCCCCATCTCCATCCCCACACACTTAACATTCCACCATGATGGTCTTAGAGCCCTAACATTGGTTCCATCAGAGCAGACTCAATGGATGCAGTCTCATCCCACCATCCTGTATTCACCTTAAAGACAAAGCCTGAGCTTAGTTCTTCCATTTTTCTTTTGATCCAGAGTCCTGGGTTAATCTCCCTGTCTTGCTAGCAAGGGAAAACCCAAAACTTACAAGTCATTTCTTCTAAGAAATGGTAGTAATGGTTCACACATGTAAAATTTGTTATTTCATCTTGATGAAAGCCTGTACAACGTTTTTAAGCCTTATAAGAATTCACTGACTAATTTAGAACTTCAATTAAGATTTTTTTCTTTTTATTTAGCTGAAAATCTCAAGTTCAGTGACTCGTAATGGGGAATACATAAATCTAGAATCTAACTTTTATTTGGAAGGATTCAGACCTTCAACACTATTTACTGAAATGAACTACAGCATTCCATCTTTACAAGTTCTCTGCCCATGTGTATTTTTGTTCATCAGAACTGGATCAAACCTTTTATAGCATTATCAAGTATGTAAACATGGATAGGTTAAATAACCTCCTGGAGCTCTAGAACTGATTATTGCAGCGTTCAGCAATTCTTAAATGTACCCAGTCTCTCAACCAACTCAATATTGATTGAATGATCCAGAGTGCACCTGAGATTTCATAAGGCAGAGCGAACTTTTCAATAGATATCATCAAACAAGTCATTTAAAAAAAATTTAAACAGAGAGTAACGGAAGAAAAGAGGTTAAAATTTATGAGATGGTTCAGAAGACTCAAATAGGCTTAAGATGAGAAATGAAAATAGAAAAAGGATTGACTTAGAAGTTATAAAAGGCAAACAAAAAGAATGGGGACAGGAAATTCAATAGTGGGAATAAAAACTCCAACTGTAGGATTAAGCTTACAAAACAAAGTGTAGTTAAACGAATGTTTACAATAAACAAAATTAAAGTGAAAGGTTAGTGAGACAAGAGATTGAACTACTATGACCAAAAGATTCTAACTTAATCCAAGTTCTTATAAGAGACAGCAGAACAAAGACACTAAAAGACGGGAAGAGAAAGAAAAGGACCAGGGTACCAATTCACACTTCAAGCAGCAGAAGATAAGAGGTTTTATTTTTAAATTGCCACTAGCACTGAGCCATACATGTGTGCACGTGGTGTGTGTGTGTGTGTGTGTGTGTGTGTGTGTATCATCCAAAAATGCATGCTGCTTTTGTATTTTTCTCAGATATAACATTTTTCCTTCTATCTACATGTTGTATTTTTCAATCATCTGTTTATAACTTTCAAACATTTTTGTATGGGGTGTTCAACATTTTTCCTATTGATACATAGAACCCCTAGTAAAAAGTCACTAATATAATTTTATCTTTATTATGTACAAATATAGAAATATAATCTAATGTCCTATAGAGGGCAATAATTGTATCTATCCCATAGAGTTTCTATGAGTGTTAAATTATATAATACATAAACACTAAAGAACTTGATGTTGTAAGTAATCAATAAATGTTAGCCATTGTGTTCAGTGCTTTAGGTCTTATTTCTCTGAATAATATTCAGAATGGCAGCTAAAAAGAATACAAATAACAATAAGTGTTGGCAAGGATGTGGGGGAAAAGGCACACTCATACATTGCTGGTGGGACTGCAAAATAGTGCAGCCAATATGGAAAGCAGTATGGAGATTCCTTGGAAAACTGGGAATGGAACCACCTTAGACCCAGCTATCCCACTCCTTGGTCTATACTCAAAGGACTTAAAAACCGCATACTACAGGGACACGGCCACATCAATGTTTATTGCAGCACAATTCACAATAGCTAAACTGTGGAACCAACCTAGATGTCCTTCAGTAGTTGAATGGATAAACAAAATGTGGGATATATACACAACGGAATATTACTAAGCAATACAATAGAACAAAATCATGACATTTGCAGGTAAATGGATGGAGTTGGAGAATATAACGCTAAGTGAAGTTAGCCAATCCCAAAAAACCAAATGCTGAGTGTTTTCTCTAATATAAGGAGGGCTGATTCATAGTGGGGTTGGGAGCGGGAGTATGGGAAGATTAGACAAACTCTAGATAGAGAAAAGGGGAGGGAGGGGGAGGGAGGGGGAAAGGGGTGTAAAAAAGTTGGAGGAATGAGATAGACATTACCTTAAGTAATGTATGAATACACACACACACACACACACAGACAAACACACACACACAATATTCTCTTAGTGTGTATGTGTTGCCTTTATAACTGAAAAGCATTTTTATCCCATAAAGAAAAAGAGAAACCTAGAGAAACAAGAAATGAAGTTTTATAATAGTGGTTCTTATTTTTTTGAGTATGGAATCTTTGAAAATCTAGTATATGTCATGGATCTGCTTTCCAGTAAAACCTTGTACAACTAAATACAGTTGTGCATGACTGTATATAGTCTTGCTAAGCATAATGGTCTCACAGGTTACCTCTTGAGAAAGAGCCACTGTACAGAAAAAAAGTGCAATGCATAGCACATGAATATGCTGTAATGCTGGCAGAAAGGGGTGTGAAGTATTGCAGGAAGAGATGAATTTCCACCACAGATATCAGAGAATACTTGAGCCAGATATTGAAAATTGTATTTGAGCCAGATCTTAAATGAAGGCAAGGATATCAGCAAAAGGGCATTCATTATGAAGACAGAGACACTTTCCGTTGTGGGCACTGCACATACAAATGCAAAGGCAGAAAATGTGGGTGTCTGGGAAGAAAGGACTCACTCTGTCTGACTGGAGTGAAAGGTTCATTGAAGAGCATGACCTATGCTGAAGGTCTAGGCCCAGCACTGGGGGATTCAATAAGTCCTTAACTTCAAGAAGCTCACAATCTAACAGAGCATACAGATAAGTTCTTATTGTTACTATTCCATCCTTAAGTTGTTTGGTGTGGGAAAGTATAGAAGCACACAGAGAAAAGAGTTTCTTCTCAGGTGCCAAGGAAGATGGGTGACAGTGCTGATGTGGTAATCTTTAGACACAGGAGTGAAATATTTGGATCTTACTTGGTAACAGATAACAGAGCCTGGAAATATCTGAGTAGGAGAGGTGAAGTGCGCTAAGAGTCTGGACTTAGGAGTCACACAACCTGTTTGAATGCAGGTCTGCTTCTTATTTCATGTGTAATTTGGGGATAAATTATTTAACTTTTCTGTGTTTTGGTTTCTAATTCTATAAAATAGGGAATATTACTAGTTCCTATCTTTAGGATTATTGTGATAAGTAACCATAATAATAAAATTAATAATGAAACTATTACTACTAATTTTTCAGGGGGTATAATTAAGGAAGAGGGCTCTGATAATGGCAGCATCTAAGGAATGGAGGGACAGAGACCAGAGAGGGGGCTGATGGGACTCATCCAGCAACCAGGACAGATAAATGATGCCCAGCCTGTAACCAACAACTAGCTTTTCTATAAGCTATTTCAGAAAAGGGAAGAATAAAAAATATAGAAATACAGAAATAAGCACATCTACATGCTAGGCATCCTGGCAATCACTTGATATTCATAAACTTATTTTATACTTATAATAATCCCACATAGTATACCTAGTTTTCAGAAAAAAAGAGGCACAAAGATTTAGCACATAGCTAGTGGAAATAAAGGTTGGGCTCTTTACAGTCCCCTCAGTAGGACTCATCCTTCATTGAAAGGATAAAGATATTTTCTTTCTGTTCCTCTCAGTGATGGAGCTGCCTAGGTTTTAGCTGGCATCGTAATTATACCTCTCAGCCTCTCTAGGTGTAACCAGTGGGATGTGAGTAGCGGTTATGTGTGCATCTCCTGGGTGAAAGCCTTAAGTGAAAGCTGCGTGCTCACCACCTCCATTTCCCCTTCTCATGAGCCAGAACTCGCACATGATAGTGTTGGTGAAGGACCAGAGCAACAGCATAGAAGGAACTGGAGATTTTGGATGATATGTGGTACAGAACAGCCTCTCTATCCTGGACTTCCTGCCTATATCTGAACTCTTTTGTAAGAGAGAAAGAAATTTCAATCCTGTTGCCGCCATTGTATTTTGGGTCTCTTTGTTAAAAGCAGCTTGCTGTGCCTGCTAACTAATAAATTGACCCATCTTATGTACAGTTCTTCCACTTAGCCCAATAAGACTTTCTTTCATTTAAATACAGGTTCCTATAATAAGTCATCTAGCAGTGATGGAGAAAATTTACAAAGTGTGAGGGGGAGGGAAAGCAAAGTTCCCCACATGCCACACAAACAGGCCAGTTTCTTCATGGTCTCCTCACTGTGTTTTAGTTCATGCCACATCCCCATTTAAAATATCCTATCATTTTAATCCATTCACCTGCCCGAAATTCCTTTAAAATTCAATCCAATTAATTCCAACATTCCACAAAAGGTTGTCTTCAGGATTTCCCATCCACAGTGATCCCATTTCCTAGTATCCATTTGGGTTACAGGAGTTTGTAAAACTCTCTTCATCAGACACTGTCTTGGGCTCTGCCTGGCATGGTAATTACTTAATAAATGTTTGTTGAAGAAATACATGTACAAATAAATAGCTTAAAACTATGTCATGAAAAGTCAATTATTCTCTACTAACATCATGCAGAATCCAGTAGCATAGGAGACAATAAGTTTTAAGTCAAATATTCTTGGATTCAAGACCTTGCTTTGCCATTATCCTCTGAATAACCTGGGAAAATCACATTACATTTGTTCTCAGTTTTCTCAGTGGTAAAATGGAAATGCCACCAGATGGTACCTAAAATTTAAACCTATCATGAAGGTTAAACGAAGAGGAACTTAAAAATTCTGACACAAGACCTCTCAGGTTCTATTATATACAAAACTATATAATCTATCAATAAAAATGTGGAAAAAAAGACCTTAATACTTATTGTTTCCCAATTTCATGAAGATAAATTTAATAGTATTATTACTAAATTATGCCATTTAATTTTATTTGCTTTACATCAGAAATATAAAAATGCAAACCTAAATAAAATAAAAACTAAATTGTGATTAAAAAAATCATTGGACTGGGAATAAGATCCCAGTCTCAGTTTCATCAACTGACTAGAGTTTTGGGTTGATTTTGTGGTACTCAGAATTAATCCCAGAGGAACTCTACCACTGTGCCACATCTCCATCCCTTTTTATATTTTATTTTGAGACAGAGTCTCACTGAAATTGCCCAGGTTGGCCTCAAACTTGCAATCCTTCTTATGAGTAGTTGGGATTACAGCTCTTCATTAGCCAGTTTTGTGACATTAGGATAATCATTTAACTTCTCTAGTCCCATCTATCCTAATAGAAAAAGAAGGACATAGATCAAACTTCTTAATCTAGAACAATTATCACAGACAAAACTCCAAGATAATCCTACTACCTTTAGCCAAAAGACTAGGAAAAGAGGAGCCCAACAGGACAGAAACATTTGAGTCTCCTAATTCTCTGTCCTGGAGGCAAACATCATGAAGATGTGGCCTTCCTTGCCCCTGAAGGGTGTAGCTGCAGTGGAAAGCATGGTACAACCTCATCTTTCACCCTCTCCTTATGTCATATCTCCGCAGAATTGTGATTTCACCCCTGAACTCCAGTAAAGAGTCTCTAAAGGACATAGTTCTAATCTCCACCTTCTCCTACAGTGATAAGGAATTATTCTTCCCTATGGTACAGATGTGGGAAGACCTTTGACTTCTACCTCTGAAGAAAGGCAGAAGTTTTCTTATTCCTGGGGTACCTCCCTTCTGCCTCTATTTTCCAAGAAAACCTGTTCTTCCAAGAAACTCCCAACCTAGAATTCTAGGTCCAGTGAAAATAGACTTCAGAAAGGAAGGTGAAATAAACATATTTTGAGATGAAAGAAAGTTAAGAGAATTATTTGCCAGCAACCCAGCTCTGAAAGAATAGCTAAGGAAAGTTCTTCACATCATAAAGGAAATTATAAACTTGGAACCAGAGAAACGAAGAAAAAGCAACAAATTGTATAAATAAATGGATAAGTACAATAGACTGTTCTTGCTTTTTTAAAATTGCATCTGACATTTAAAAGCAAAATTATAATATTGTGGTTCTCAGTGCATGTACATATAATGTTTAAGACAATTATACAGTGTGAAGTTCAAGGGTCCAAAATTGTTATGTCTGTCTTTCACTTGAAGTGGAAAATTCTTGCATTGGTGGATTCCGTTAAGCTACTAATGTAGCTCATAATATTTAGAGCAACCACATTTAAAAAGAAATATGCTTCAAAACACTACAGATGAATAAAAATTGACTTATAAGAGAAGTTCCAAGTAGCTCACAGAAAGACACGAAAGGGGAAACAAGAATGAAAAACAGAGCAACAAACAAACAACCCTGGAAAAAAATAAATAAATGGTAGACTTAAACACTAACACAGCAATGAATAAATTAAATAGAAATGTCCTACCTTGACCTATTTAAGGATAGAGATAGGCATAATTTTTTAAAAAATCAACCAAGTATATGTTTTCTACAAGAATTCATTTCAAATATGATTATAAAGCGGGTTAAAAGTAAGACAGTAAATAAGCAAATACTACTCACATAATAATCAAAAGACAGCTGATATGGCTATATTATATCAAATAAAGTTAGGTAAAAGAAAATTACCAGGGATAAAGGACATTACAAGAAAAAAAGAATTTCAATAATGTTTAAGAAGAAAACAAATGAGTTAAGAAGAAAGGTAACCTAGGTAGCACATTTAAAAAGTAAACATTTAATTCTCCTGCACCACTAGAAAGGGCAGGTAGGTAGAATGATGCCACATGTCTGGTAAGGTAAACAAAGCTCAAAGTGGGATTTAGCAGGTTAGCAGCACTAGCTGCCCAGCCACCCATCCTCTTGCCCCAGGTCCCCAGAATGTCCCTTGTCCTGCAAGTCAGGGTTAGCATATGGACGCAGTCGGGCACCTTCGCCCCTTCCTACCTTTTGAGCATCCAAGTGCGAATTCTCCATGTTAACTTCAAATAAGTTGCCAAACACGGGTAGAGGCCAGGGCCCTGGTGGGTAGTTCTTTGGGCGCCGCCTTTTGAAGACAGCAAACAACAGAAAGACGACAGCACCCACTAGCAAAGTCCGGGCCTGGAGCCCTGCCCAGAAGGCGGTCGCCAGAGAGACCACCTCCGCGAGCATGGCTCAGAAAGCTGCGGGCTCTTCTAGAATGCAAATATTCTGCTCCAGTTGTCTCCTGCTGTCAGTGTAGCCCCTTGCTCCTACGCCCCGCCCTGCGCCCCGCCCTCCGCCCCGCCTCCGCCCTGCCTTCCGCCCTGCCTTCCGCCCTGCCTTCCGCCCCGCCTCCGCCCTGCCTTCCGCCCTGCCTTCCGCCCTGCCTTCCGCCCTGCCTTCCGCCCTGCCTTCCGCCAGGCCCCTCCTTCCCAGGGCCCCTCCTTCCCAGGGCCCCTCCTTCCGGCTCTTCTCCAGTGCTCCGCCAAGTCAAGCCACGCCCCCTGACTCCCTCTGCCTTTTACCCAGCCCAGTTCTTGGCAGTGAAAATGCCTGGAGCTGAGATTCTTGGGCTGCAACATAATTGAAAAATACTTGGCTAGGACCGGTTTCTTTTCGATTTAGAAAGTTCTCCTTTCTTGGAGACCGTTGAGATTCTTAGGTTATGATTCTCTCAGGTTATGCATCTCAGAGAGCGCCACAAACATTTGAGCTGCTGTTTTCCAAACACCCTCTCACCCTGTGACCAGAACTATATCTAGTAAACAGAAGTGACAGCAGCATCCAACATTTCTTGGCTTCTTAATATACGCCATAAAGCACACTTAACTCTTTACATAAATCACTTTGCTTCGATAGAATTATGCAGGAAATGATCTTGTTAGTTCCATCTTGCAGTTGAGGAAACAGTAAGTACTAACGTTAAGTACTAAGAACATGGGGTGAATAAGACAATCTACAGGTCTAAAACACATCTAAGAAGGTCCTGTATTTGAAAGTGTTCTGAAGATTCAAAAGCATTACATCAAAGCTCTTAGCACTGAGTATCATCCACAGTAGGAGCTTAATTAACATTTGTTTAGGAATGTCTTAGTCCTGATTCTTTTTGGTCTGCCCTGTGAAGATCCCTCAGAAGCCCCAAGAGTGTTAGGATTCCAGGAACCAACCTTCCATGTCATCCAATGGTGCCTACCTGTGTCTCACCATTTGTGAGATATTCAAAACCTGCAGCATGATTCTGGAATACTAATCGTGTACTAAATGTAAAAATACACATTCTATTCTTTTTTTCTTAAAAAATAAAGGAGAATTTCCTATCTTTCCAATATGGAGAAGAAGGTGGGGTGGTAGTTAGAGCTTACTTTGTATTCTCCCAGTCCAAAATTTCCTGTTTTAATACAGTAACTATATACCCATATGATATTTCTATATTTACATATGTTGGAAGAAATTTTCTAAAATTGTTTTTTTTTTAAATTAAGCTCTGTATTATGTAATATTATCCTGAATGCTTTACATATGAAATTAATTCATTCAATTTGAATAGAAGTTTTCCAGAGTCAATCAGGGGAAAACCCAGGCAATCTTCCATTACTACCTCACAATTTCTTTACTTATTATTTCCATATCAATGGGTATTTAAGTTTGTTATTCATTTCTTCCTTTTTTAATTTTTTTTTTTGCATTACAAATAATGCTACAGGGGAATAACTGCATAATGCATAATGTCACCCTGAGGAGCTCTCCTGACCCTCTTCTTATGGAAAAATCATAATATCTAAAAAAATTATTTATAAAATCCCAACCACTTTAAGTTTTTGAACATTAATTTAAGGGCATAGAACAAATTAAGAAATTTATTTTTTTAATCTACTAAATCTTGGTAAAAAGCAGCCAGAGTCTAAATCATTTTCCTTTTCAAGTCCCAGGTCAGTGGGCCAGAAGCTCTGTTCTAGGCATGTGAAACCAAGAGCACTGTCCCTAAATCCCAGTTGATAGACACAGTATCTCTCTGAGGGGGAAAGGCTATCAGTTCTTCTCATACTCTTCCCCCAAACTCCATGCTACAAAAGCTCTATTCTAGGCAAGAGTGACAGAGAAGTCTGGGAATATCCTTCTCCTTCTGGCCCCCACTTGTAGGGCAGGAATTTTTTTCTCAAAAGGATGAGAATACTGGGCCAGATTGGCTTCATCCCAGCTGGTTTATAGCACAAAGTTCCAACTCTGGGAAAGATTAACCTCAAAGATCCTGAATGCCATACACAACAGAGATGGGTGTGGCAAGCAATTAAGAGGAGACTGGTATCTCCATGAAAACAATCGCTAAACTGCTGGCTAGCTAGAAGTTTTCCAGGGTCAATCTGGGGAAAAGACAGCTAAAAAGAGCCTTCTGGAGGACAAACAAAATTCAAGGACTGACGTGAGAAGGGCTGGGAACTTAACTGGGTCAGACTGTCCTACAATTTGTTCCCCAGGGCATTGTTGAAAATAATAGAACAATCAGTCCTTAAAGACTCCCTACTTTTTACCCTCTGCCTCCTATGTCCACTTTTTATTTTATTTAACAAGTGTTACCTTCATGTTCCTTTTTTTCCCCAGGTTAAATGTAATGAATCTTTTACTTTTTTAGTTTAATATATCAATAAACTCAAGTATATTGGGACAGGGTAGAGTGTGGCTTACTCTCAGGAAAGTGAAGGATAGGATTACTTGGGCACCAATTGACCTTTGGTCACCACCCAGTTTATTGTGTTCCTTTTTGGTCTCTTATCTCCTGGGCCCTTGCCTGTTTGTGAACAGGCAATAAATCTCTGACCTTGCTCACTGAATCACTCTTGGACAATATTCTTTTTTTTTCTTTTTTGTTATTTGTGCATTTTTATGGTGCATTATTATTATAATAGTGGAATTCATTATCATTTATTTATAAATGCACAAAATATAAAATATAATTTGGTCAATTTTGTTCCCCAGTACCTCCACTTTCCCTCTTTTTCTCCCTCTGGGTTGCCTTCCTGTACTCTGCTGTTTTCCCTTCTATTTTTACGAGACTCCCCCTTCCCCCCTTTATTCTCTCTAGTTTCCACCTATGAAAGGAAACACACAAATCTTGACTTTCTAAGTTTGGCTTATTTCACTTAACATGATGCTCTCAAGTTCCATCTGTTTTCCTGCAAATGACATAATTTCATTTTTTTTAAATTTAATTTTTAAATTTAATTTGTTCTTTTTAGATATACATGGTAGTAGAGTGTATTTTGGCAAATTATACGTACATGGAGTATAACTTATTCTATTCAGGATTCTATTCTTGTGGTTGTACATGATGTGGTGTTACCCTGACTTGCTCTCTTCCCTTTATTCCCCCCTTTCTAATCCAACGGGTTTCTATTCTTCCCCTCCTCACACTCCCTTGTTGTGGGTTAGCATCCACATATCAAAGAGAACATTTGGCCTTTGTTTTTTTGGGACTGGCTTATTTCACTTAGCATGATATTCTCCAGCTCCATCCATTTACCAGCAAATGCCATAATTTAATTCTTCTTTATGGCTGAGCAATATTCCATTGTGTATATATATCACATTTTCTTTATCTGTTCATCTGTTGAAGGACACCTACACTAGTTCCATAGCTTGGCTATTGTGAATTGAGCTGCTATAAACAATGATGTGACCGGATCAATGTAGGATGCTGATTTTAAGTCCTTTGGGTATAGACCAAGGGGTGAGAAAACTGATCAAATCGTGGTTGCATTCCAAGTTTTCTGAGGAATCTCCATACTGCATCTCCAAACTGCTTTCCGTAGCCGCTGCAACAGCAATGTTTGAGAGTACCTTTCTCCCCATATCCTTACCAACATTTATTGTTACTTGTATTCTTGATAATCAGAATTCTGACTGGAGTGAGATGGAATGTCAGTGTAGTTTTAATTTGTATTTCTCTAATGGCTAGAGATGTTGAACTTTTTTTAACATAGTATTGACCATTTGTATTTCTTCTTCTATGAAGTGCCCATTCAGTTCCTTTGCCCATTTATTGATTGGGTTATTTGTCTTCTTTATTTATTTGTTTGGTGTCTTATTTATTTATTTTTTTGAGTTCTTTGTATATCCTGGAGATAGATGCTGAATCTGAGTTATGCTGGTGGCAAAGATTTTCTCCCATTCTGTAGGCTGTCTGTTCACGTTCTTGATATTTTCCTTTGCAGTGAAAAAGTTTTTTAGTTTAATTGATTCTTTATTTTATTTCTTGCACTTTAGGAGTATTATTGAAGAAGTCATTTCCTAAGCCAATATGATGGAGAGTTGGGCCTATTTTTTCTTCTAGTAAGCACAGGGTAAATCTGTCTAATGCCTCCTTGATCCACTCTGAGTTGAGTTTTGTGCAGGGTGAGAGATAGGGGCTCAGTTTCATTCTACTACATAGGGATTTCCAGTTTTCCCAGCACCACTTCTTGAAGAGGCTCTCTTTTCTTCAATATATGTTTATGATGCCTTTTTCTAGTATGAAATAACTGTATTTATGTGGGTTACCTCTGTGTCTTCTATAAAATTCCATTGTGTTTATATATAGCATTTTCTTTACCCAGACTCTATTTTGGGGGGAGTACCAGGGATTAAACCCAGGGGTACTTAACTACCTGATCATATCCCATATTTCTACGATGTGACAGATCCTGGACTAGCAAATGAGACACAGTGGTGAGCAAAAATAGGTAAGTCCCTGTTTTTCTTGGAGGTTGCATGAGTAAGCTTCAAAGAACGGGAGTTCCTAGATCCAAGATTAGTCCATCTTCCTAAAGTTCCCTGAGAGCTCCTGTTGTCTCCAAGGTAGTCATAGATGAGAATCTAGTGTGGATTGGCCATTTTATTCACTAATCTCAATTATTCTATAATGTCAGTCATTACACTGTCACCTTCTGGGGATAGAGGAGGGTGTTTCCATGGTGATGTAGATATCTATGGGAAAAAATCCTCACCAACGTGTCTTACTTGGTTTTGAAACTAGTTAGAGTCAGGGGCCCGGTCATGAAGCAAACTCTTTCCCTTTTCCAATTTATATATGACATGCCAGTCTTTTTAAAAATAGTGTTATTGAAGTATAATTGATATTCAACAAACTGACAGAGTTATAATTCACAATTTGATAAGCTCTCAGGAGAAAATAGAGCAATAAAATGAGAGCAACAAAAACCTAAGGCAAGTAGAAGAAAGAAAGAATAACAATTAGAGTAGCAATCAATGCAACTGAAAATAGGAAAATGGTGAAGAAAATC